GTGTGTGTGTGTGTGTGTGTGTGTGTGTGTGTGTGTGTGTGTGTGTGAATTTTTTGTAGGTGTGAATGTATGTGTGTCGACGACACAGGGGGTTTTTGTCATTAAAGCTATCAACGCGTAATTCTCATTTAATTCTGCATCTTTAAAACACCGTATAAGGAACCTACTATACGCCATACAATATAGCGATTTCATTAATTAATTGCTTCATTCGTTTAATAGTTGCTCATGAATTGTCGAGCGGGGAAAAAAGTCGAACCGAATATGTATAATCGATAACGGGAGTTTCTACGAGCCTATACGAATTCACGAACAGTAACGAGACACGCGCTGCGTTTCAAAAATTTCTGTTCTCTGCCTATATTTATAATATATATATATTTTTATAAATTGTGTATATTGTGTACTATATAAGACTCTATTTCGTTATGTTAGGTATACTATCGCGCATTTTAACAAATCGATCTTATTAGGCTACTCTCGTTCGCGGCTTGTACGACTTTGCACGCGGCACGAAAGTCCTTCACGTCCGCTTGTGAGTTCTTGCGGGTGTATTTACAACATATGATAGATGAGAGGAGTATTTAATACGGGAGAATGCAAAAGCGGAAAAAAATGCTTGCATTCTTTTTTGTTTTAGTTGCAAAATTTCGAGCTTTTGGAAGCTATAAATACGTGAATTTTTATATTGGACCTTCTTGGGATTCTAAAAATGAACCTTTTTTTACATACTAAAACATTAAAAATATTATAAATTCATATAAATTTTTCTTACTAGGCTACTAATAAAATAGATAAATTTCTTTTGTGTTTTGCAAGCATTTCGCCCCATGCAATTCTCTGCTAAGATGAGATGTTATAATATGATGGGGGTAAAAAGATTGAGAGTCGAGTGTTTTTTTTTTCGGACTAGGCGAGAACATGATGACTAGTTTAAATTGACTGGAGAAGTGGAATCGGCGATTAAATGTTGCAGCGAGGATGGTTATCGCGAGTGAATCAACTATGAATTGAGTTTTTGCGATGATCATACGTATAATCAGTAGAGATCACGTTTGCGCATCGTTTTTATTAACTCTAAGGGGTTATCACTTCGGACTAAATAAAGATCTCATGGCAGATTTTGGCAGGATGACTCAAACAAGTTATAGAAGATGTTCTCGGAATAAATAAAATCGTGATAGTAAGGGTATAACGTTCAAATAATTCGCTTGGAATTTTAAAGATTGTAGCGCTATATTCGAGTTTTCCTATCGATAATAGTATTAGTCCGCGATAACTCGATATGACGGGTTACTAAGTTTGGCCGCTTCTAGAGTTTTTTTCTTTTTTAGGTATTACTTCTTCTCATCGCCTTCTCGCAAACCTCTCTTTTAAGATGACGAGGACATCAGGACGAGTTACGGACTGTTGAAACAATTTCTTGGCGTTATAACTTTACTAAAGGAATAAAGGAACCCCATACATATCTTGGATTTATTAACAAACGGAATCTCTACAATCGCGCCAAGTATTCGTTTCTTGGAGAACCGTTTTCGCGCTAGGCCATGTTTATTAGTCAATAGCTGGTTGTTGAAATTTTCAAAAGGCATCAGAGCAACTGTCACTTACGATGCTCCATTTGTCCTCGTAATTATACAAACGTCCGTAACTCATCCTATATAAAATCCCATAAAAAACGCCATCAGTCGTCGAGAACTCTTTAGGATATCTGTATCACGACGATCGATGTCTCGATATCTTTTTCGAGATTTCTATACGCTCAGTCAGACCTTACTTTTCGTCCCTCAAGAGAGGGGCCTCCTCGGCTTCCTTTCGCCGTGCTTTTGCTTCTTTCTTCGCTCTCTTCTTCTCTTCTTTCGCCAGCTTCTTCGCCTCCTTTTGCCTAGTCTTTTCTGCCTTCTCTTCCTCCTTCTGGCGCGCTTTCTCCGCTTTTTCCCGCTCCTTCTCTCGTTCTTTCTCCTTTTTCGACTTCTGCACTTCCTGAACCACTGTCATCTTCGGCGCTGCCGCTGGTCGTTTAGGCGCGGCGCGGCCGCATGACGATGCCGACGATGTCGACGTTGTAACGGCAGATGTGCCTCTTGGACTCGGCGATGTTTCCAGCTGCGTCACAATCTTTTGAGCACATCTGCAAATGCATCAACATAACGAATCCGTCCTTTGCTCTCGGCCGACTGCTAAATAAAATCGTAAAGATGATTACCTGATTCTGGTAGAGGCTTTGCCAGCACGATAGTCCCTCTGGAACTCTTTGATTGGTGGCAATCGGCGTTCTCGATTCTCTCGCATAATTTCCTCCTCTTCAGTGATTTGTTGAACCGGATCTTGATACTCCTATAAATTTTGATGAATAATGTATACCACTGACTTACACATTGAAAAACTTACTTCAAAAAATACAATATTTACGGAATTAAAAAGTCACAACTTTAGATAAAAACATGAAGTGTTTACATCGAATATTATGATCAACTGTTAACCTGAATTCGCATTTTCATCGATTGCGTTTGAGAACGTCTGAGAGTGACGCCTGTGGGCTGCCGTACCCTCGTCGGTTTACCGAGAGAGGAACTTCCGGTGCTATTCGCGGACGAAGAAGTTGCCGAAGAGACGGAAGACACTCCTACATAAGTGAATTCAAATTCGAAATTTTGTACTGTATTCAACATTCCTTCCACAGTAGATTGTATGCAACTAGCAATTTGCGAAGCTTAATATTACGAACCAGAAATGGAGGACGAACCGCTGGCCATCGAGTATAAAGAAGCAGAGGCTGGTACGCTTCCGGTTCCCCATCTGCCACCAGGTCCGGACACGCCGGCTGTAACGCCTGTGCCCATGTTGTACTCTGACGCGCTTTGAGGGAGTACCCAAGATTTACCCGACATCGAATACTACAAGCCAAAACAATCTCACAGTGCATAATCGATTCGTATTTCTCCAAGCGAAATATATCTGGAATGGTTATAATAAAACATTGTTGCCAGAATAAAAAAAAATTCGTTAAATTATGATATATCGGCATGAAAAGTTATTTAAATTGTATTTTTGCGCGCACAATTTACTTTCTATTTAATGGATAATTAATGGATTATTGAGCACATTTGACGATTAATTATGTGAAGGATGGAGCGCGTACTACGAGTGGCATTTGAAAAAGAACGTAGCACGATATTTTTAGCGATTTTTATTAGTGGAGATCTGTCTTTAAATACGAAGCATTCTGTTGTACAAATTGGTCGTATCGGCGGCTTTGAGAATCTGCTCCAATTAACAGCGATTCCGTCGCTATCATGTCAGTAGGCATGAAATTGATTTGTACGCGAAACGCGCCGTTATATAGCGAGATAGGAAGAGAACGTGTAAAATTAAATTTATACAAGAATTTTTAAAGCAGAAATAAAGTAAACGAGGGAAGAGCAATTAACGCGTGAACCCGAAAATGAGAAATTCGTCTGAGGTAAAACGGTAATATCGTCACTTACATCACGCGGAATGAGAGTCTGCTTCAGCCGTAGAATCTTCGCTCTGCATATAACGCATCTCAACGGCAAAAGCCTCTGAGACACCGCCATTTGTATAGTCTTGACGAAGCAGCGTCTGCAAAACGGTGGAGACGAATGTGATGTTAACGTAACGAACATCCAAGACATCGTAATTAAAGGAACAGTTCTTTTAACGTATATAAAATATACGGCGCCGCAGCGCCGACGTGAAAAATAATTACTGTTTATTTAGAGCTCCCGCGTAATAGGAAGAAAGTACAAAGCGCATTTAAAATGAAGATTAATGTGGAAATCTGCGTTTACTTTAAACTCGTTCGCTCACCTGCAAACCACTCGATGTCCACATGGTGCAGTTTGCATTGTCGCTCTCGCATTCACACATATGACGCACTGAAAAAAAATAAAGCGTATTCGTTGGATATACATGTGACAATATCAAACGGATTTTTATTGGCAATCACGGCGTTATGTATAATACTGGCTGTCGACGGATTGGGAAAAAATCGAAGAAGAGTAAAAAAAAGAGAGCAGCCGCTTTTATTCACGTTCATCACGGAGCGTGCTCTTATTTCGTTTGCCGAGTTTTTACGCGTTTGCCGATATAATGTCATTAAATCCCAGGACGCACGATGTAACACCTCATTGTTTAACGAGGATCGAGACGGACGCGATTGGCTGCCATAATCGACGTAACGTAATTAGGCGTCACTTTAATCGAAATATTAATAGCTCGAGTCGGGAGGATGGGCGAACACGTCAGGAATCGAAGGGTTGCAACCGCCACTTTGTCGTCGTTAATCGACTTTTGCGACCGATTGGACGGCCAATTCGTTCGGAAATTGCGACTTTTCCGGACGGCTGGCTATATTTTACGCGATACAAGTGCTCTGTTATCGTCATTTTCTTCACAGCCTAATGGCCCAATCTAGCGTAACGCAATGCAACGAACCGAGAAGATATACAGCATCTCTATTCAGGACCATATAATGTTTACACCCTAATATAGACTATAGTACATTCTGTCAAATTTAGTAATCTATTTTAAAAATAAAACGCGTATTTTTTAAAATATACCTTATTTTTATATTCGTTATTTGCATGGCATGGCAAAGGGATTACTATGAAGGTCTCAGTGAAAAGAATGGCTTCAATTTAATGTACATACAATTTAATTTACACGCGTTATGCGCAAATGTAATTTCCATTAAGCTTCTTTTTATTGACTAACTTCGATTTATGCCTACATAGGTGCGGTGTAGTTACCAAAAAGGTGTGCGTTTTATTTCGTATCTATATTTGGAAAGAAATTTCATTTATTTACTAATAATAGAAAACGTATGTCAATAATATTACGAGTTAGTTTATTTAATTATCTATCGCGCGAGCAGTTTAAATCTTAGAGAATCTTAAAGAGTAGAGCGTAGAACCAACGGAAAGAAACAGTTACTACTTATATCACTCGATGCCGATTCAAGCGGAAAAAGAGTTAGTTTTTTTCATAATTATATCCACGACAATCTCGAATAATGCCTAGAAAGGAAAATTTCACCATTCGATTTCATTGTGCTATTTCAGAACGGTCGATTAAGCGTTTTATAATGCTTAAAAATATCGCTCTAAGAAAATCTGCTTCCTGCTTTCGACTCGCTTCTTACCTCATCTTCCTGCGAAGATGCTAACTCTGGTTCGTTCTCCTCTAGTTTCGTCAGCAACTTGTCCTGGAAAAAAAAAGAAAGAATAAATATTTTCTTATCAAGGTATCACGACAAAGATTTAATTTTCTTCACGAAGAAAGTTTTGTTACACAATGTTTGGATGATGGAAAATCATTTACCTCTAAATGAGAACAATATTCTCGTACAAATAAAAAATGTACTCCTTATTCTCGATTCAACCACGTATACAATTTTAACACCGGAAGTGAAACAATTAAATCAATTTCATAATATCAATTTATGCCTAGCATGTTACTGTATCATTACCAGTCAGCTTTACAAAAACAAAAAAGTAGATCGTTATGCTCACGGGAGATGATGGTATGGGAGCACTACAAAACGATCAGCTGCTGCTGAGTCCCACCAGTTTCCTCTCGAATCTGGTGTAAGACGATACTGCAAAAGGCTTCAGTGTAGCGCGCCATTTGAAACTTTCGGGTGCTCGACAATGCTCCCATCGTTTCTCGTGCCTATGCTCTGTCATTTGTATATTGTTCGAAGAGGTAAATTGCGACCAGTGCTAAATTACTCGATATTTCTTCTAATTTCCGCGAGTGCCGGTTATTTTCATCAAGTGCGTTGTAACACAAATCGTGCACATTAATATATCAATACTGCGTATAATAATTATATTTAACGATCCTGTGTGTGCATTAATAATTTATTATACAATTATATATATATTTGTTATACATTTATATATAATTTATAGTAATTATCAAAACGTGTAATTAACTCCGTTAGAAGAAGTTAGAAGAGTAATAGTCAAATGTAAGGAACAGTGTTTGTATATATGTTTAACGTTGTAGAAAAATTATTAACCCCCAACACTGAATCAAAACTAGATCGCGCAATTACTCGCGTGAATTTTCCATCTAGACGCTCGTGATCGCGTTAAGTGCAATTCCGTTTCATTAATAATAAGCGATGTCATGTACGCCGGTGTGATTTATACTAACGATACTAACGAGTAATAAAAGTGCTACAAATATAACTCGACTCCGTTGGCAATTAGCGATGATGGATGATTCGTTAAACGAGAAACAAATTTGGCAAACATGTCGGCTCAAAGCGTAATGCATGGCATGGGAACATTTGTTTTCGTAACGTGTCCAATTGCGTAAACGAATAATCGACTACGTTAAACATTTTCGACTCCATTCCTGCTCTTGTATACACGTATCCCATCTCAATTAAGACGTACGTAGATCTTCGTTGTTTTTAATCGTAAATAGCCGGCATGACCGGTATACACATATGTGATATGGTGTGCATCTCATCCAACCGGAACATGTGGATCCGCTCGAGAAATGAGAAATTCCCCGATATCATTTGAAATCAGGTAATCAGGACGCGTAACGCATTCTGCACGGAAAATACATTCACGCGTTTAACTATGCGGTACAATAAATTCCTGATACGGCGACACGGCAAGTAGCATGCTTTTTTGAGATAAAAGTCGAGCTTTCCACAGCGGAATTAAAGTTCGCCCTTTTTTCCACTACCGCGAGTCGTCCGGTGTAACTAGCGCGAGAATTGGGGACGCACATTGCTTTCACATTAAAGATCGTCGTTGACTAGATTTGATGACCCCTTGAACTTAATGGCAATTTAATGCAACGCACTACGAGATTTTGTTCGTGAAGGAGTAAACAAGATAATTGTATGAATTATACGACATTTTGAAACGTCTTTCTCTCTTGTGTGATTGCGTTATAAAATATATTCTTAGCTTACGGCGATCTCGCAAACGTTCCCAGTGCAGTGTTCGAAGAATCGCGCCGCGAAAATTACATTCTCGATGCAGTGTCATCATCAAACTGGCGCAATTTGCGGAAGCGTGTTGCTGCATGGTAATGCTGATCATATCAATAATAAAAAGGCGAACGTTTTTCCATAACGGTTGTGTACAAGGCGATGACCGACATTGCAAAAGACCAATCTCTTTAGATTATCCCGTTCACTCCTTTCGCCCGCTATAACGGTTTGTCGGAATAGATAACGTTTCTTCGTGATCGCAAAAGTTTCTTCCACAGATCCGGCGGTATCGTTAATCTACGCTGATATAGCCGTTGGCCACGATTGTTTCCGCGGTGGAATGCTTCGAGGCGTGAAAAAGCGTCATGAATATCATGACGAAAGTGTAAACGGCGACCTATTTCTCGAGAGACTACTTGAAAATGCGTTTAATTATCCCGTTGCGCAATCGTGAAATAAATCCCCGAGCTTCGAGTCGTAAATTACATTAGAGGCTTTCACTAATTGTAAAAATTGTTTCTTCTGCCTTTATCGTTTTAGCGCGGCGACAAGTATCGTGAGTTAAAATTCTGGATTCGACATCCGCTGTCGAGTGGTAACGATGCTTCTATCAAACATTTTCTATTTTTCGGCAATATAAATGCTCGAAAAATGTTTTTGCGTAAAATAATTAAAATTATTGCTCAATGCGAATTTTTCGTATAAAAACTATTCATTTTCGACGCGACGAGTGTAAGGTTTAAGGGATTGCGCGAGGTGCAACCGAGTGAGCAAACTCAACAGCCACTTAACGCTTTCCGTGCGAGCTTAATTACGACGGAACACGGCATCACGTGTATTGCCGAAGTAGAAAGAATGGCGAATTATTTCTGTGTTTTTCTTGGTGTCGCGTCGATACACGTTATCAAACAAGATATAGATACGAGATAATTTGACATGTTCGTTTTTGAATCTATACCTTACGTGGAACAGCACCCATTACCTGACGATTAACTCATTTGAATCCAACAGTGCAATCGGAATTCAATCAGAAACGTTCTAGATTATTAAAACATTAAACGGTTGAAGGAGACGATAATTTCCTTGGAATCACAAGATAAAAATAGATACTTTAAATGGATCGAACTCAAAGGTGTCGGAAATTAACGTAACTTGGAAAAATTATTTACCTTTTAGAATTTAGATAAGTACAAGTTCTTTCGCGTGTTCACGAAATCGAGCAATGTTCCTGCGTGGACGTGTTTCGCGTCGAAACATTTTGCGCGACGAGGGGAACTAAAAGGTTTCTTCGTTAGGGTGGGTATCGCGCACCGTCGATCTCCGTCGGCTGTACGACACGCGACATGACGTGACCATCGTCAGGTTCAATGACGACGACCGCGGCGATTGGTCGAGGCCGACCGTCACCGTTGGTATTATGCACAATTTAACGGAAGACAGAACGCGTAGAGGATTGAACCAATAACGGCTATTCGAACACATATACATATACATTACGTACCAATCACGGTATCTATCAAATGGATTCTTGAACCTGGCTGAGGTCGATTGAAGAACAAAAATAAATTCGAAGTAGTCGTTTGCGTTTTACAATTCTTTAATTAAAGATCTCATATATTATATATCTTATACAATCGGAAAATTGAAATTGATTAGCTCCGATTCTGTTAAAGGTATTATCTCTTCACTTTTGTTACAGGAGATACTATATTGCATCTGACTCTGCTTCCTACCGGTACGTGCTTCTATTGCTGCCCTATACGATTGAATCAGGACGTCCAATTTCTATTGTATACCAGGTACGCGTTGTTCATGAATCAGAATCACCGTCACACAATAATGTAGAGCAAACGCTTCGGTAGAACATAATTTTCCTACCTTAATATTGTAAATATTGAGGATATTAAGCGGAAATTAATAATAATTAACCGGAAATTTTGTTAATCTACTAGCTCGTCAGAAAGATGTAAGCTATTTGAGTAAATAGATCAGTTAATTAATCATGAACTAGAATTTGAAAATTAGTTTTTCGATAGTCCGTAAATCAACGAGTCTATCATCGATCATGTTAAATTTCACAAATTTTGCTCATCATAGCGACATTTTTCTTGCGTTTCGCATTAATCCACGACAGGCGGAATCCAACGTATCCAAATGTACTGGATTTTAATGATGCCACAACGTTGCAGAAGAGTAATTTCAACGTTAAACACCCGACTATCATGTACATTCACGGATACAGCGATAGTAGTTCAGGAAAAGGTCCTACTTCTGTACGAAATGGTACGTACTTTATAAATATCCAAAAGCGATAAGCACCATATCGTTAAATGCATAGAGAAATAGCGATTTGTCGAATTTGACAGTACTTCGCAAAAAAAGTTTCAAAAATCTCTGAAAAGTTTTTGAAAATGAAATTTTAGCTTACTTCGATGATAACAAATGTATGATACATTTCCAGCTTTTTGGTAAGCGCGTGATACCACAGCGATGTATCGCTCTGAATGCCAAAACAGCTCCTTAAAAGTCATCGCGATACCTTCGTTTTTCTTTCCGCTCGTAAAGTTCGGGGTGAGCGAGTAGGCTAGATCCATTAGTAACTACATGATCTACGGGATCTATCTTGCTAAACCTCAAGAGGTACTGTCAGGATGACAAATAGTGAACACCATAACTTGGCACTATAAATTGCGAAGTTTTCTACTCTTCAGCGCACGAATTGATCCAATTTAACTTTCAACGGCCCCAAAGGAGCCGCCTTTGTTTATTTGTTTGTTTAAGAAAGAAAAATTCTGCTTCCTGCTTGATGATTTTTCTACAAACGCGGTTTACATTGTCAAGTCATCAAGTGAAGTGATTGAACAATGATATTTTCTTGTATTTTTTTTTACCATGCGTACGAAGACTTTAGTACTTTAAAAAGTTTTTGTTTCTATGATTGAATAATTTCAATAATTAAAAATTCAATATATATATGTTATAATTAATTATTTTAAGAATCCAATTGCATACTCTTTGTTTCAGCTTATCTCCGTCGTGGGCACTATAACGTGATACTGATAAACTGGCCTAAATTGGCGGTCTTACCATGGTACATATCGGCAGTGAGAAATGCCAAAGTCGTCGGACCTTACTTAGCACACATGATAAGTTGGCTCGACGCACAAAAAGCTGTCTCTTTATCCAAACTTCATGTGATCGGCTTTAGCTTAGGCGCGGAAGTTGCTGGTTTTATGGGAAAGGCTCTGGCACCTCGAAAGGTTAGATACTGTAGGATCTGTTAATAACGATCACCAGAGAGAGAGAGAGAGGGGGGGATAGAGAGTTACACCGCATTGCACGTTCACTTGACTAATCGAAGGCCGCATTATCGGAACTGCATTAGTGCCAAAAATTTCAATCGAGGCGCGATATCGACAAACGCGACTGACAAACTATATGTTAAATATGTGTGTATGTTGAGAAACGCGTTTTTAGATAGGTAGAATCACCGGATTGGACCCGGCTTATCCGTTATACATGAATACCGGGGAGGACGGTCACTTGACATGGGCTGACGCTGTCTTCGTCGATGTCATTCATACTGACGGCGGCAATTTTGGATTCCCTCAACCACTTGGTCACGTCGATTTTTACCCGAACGGCGGCGGGAGACGACAGCCCGGTTGCGATTTGAAGAGCATTGTTCGCATGGGCTTCAGGAGAATTATAAATCAATATAGTGAGTGACTCGTTACGATGTCGAGCCGTGCGCTCTTCCCGCTGTCAAGATTTTTCTTTCTCGTAATACTTAATTCTCTCTTTCAATATCGTTTAAAGCATAGTCTAACAATAAGTCTAAGTTTAAGTCTATATTCTCGTCAAAAGTTTCGTTAACGTTTCGCTTGTCTATTTAGTTACCTGTGGACACAATCGAGCATGGCGTTATTACGCGGAATCAGTGGAGAACCCCTACGGATTCCCCGCGAGTCGATGCCCAAGATGGCGACCCGGGATTCTAGCGAGCTGCGTATGGAAACCTGAGGCTTACATGGGTTTCGCAGCTGATTCCAAGTATCGGGGAAAATTTTACTTGAGCACGAACTCACGATCACCGTATGCCAGGAATTTGACAGATCGTAAACTTAGCATATGAGAATCATGCGATAATCTTAATTTGGATGAACCAGATTAAGAAGCGGAACGATTTTTCATGTTGATTACTCCCACCAGGATAATTGTCTTGGATGAAGCTTGGGAGAATAAAAAAGATATTTCTTGTACTTCTTATACGATGTGTTTGCGGGAAAGTTTGTATTCCTGTCGTTATCTCTTTAGTATTCTCTATAAACGATTCGCGGCTTCAATTAGTTGTACTTTTTCTTTAGAGGATTACTAAAGCGAGGACGGAAATATTTTTTCCCTAGAATAACAAACAAACAAGATTCGTGATGGAACGTGGTTTGGTGTAGCAGCGATATCGAAAAGCTTGATTCGAATTGATAAGTTGAAAGGAAACAACTAGTTCCGACTGTTTTAATGCCAAGTATTACGATCTCGTGCCAGATAACAGCGCATTGTTTACAACATTTATCATTCTAATTTTAAGTGTCAATGATATACGAGTAATAGTCACATAACATGATTATATAGTTATACGTCCATACAGGTAAAATACGTGACTGAAACTTTACAATAGTAAAACATGACCTGAAGAATACTTTTACGTGATAAATGATATTAAAAATAAATCTGGATTTTTAAGAATATACATAAGAATATACGGAATTTAACAATTTGACTTGTAAATATTGTATTTTCCGTATACTTTTAATGAGCGTGAAGAGTTAGTGTAAACTCCAGTGTATGCAGTGTCAATCACTTGAATGAATTTGTTAATTAACTGTATTAAAATGTCATCTATTTTTTAAGAGCAATGATTTTATGTATTTATGTAAAAGGTATATAAGAAGCATAAAGCAGAAATAAGAACGCTAATAATCGAGGGAGCAACTCGTAATTTTCATGTTATTTTCGATGCGCCCTGCCTTCAAGATATGTAAATTTCAAGGCCAGAGAATTTTATTATTTTCCATCTGGGGTAATCGATGGAAACTTCTGGAACCATATGCCCTTCGAACGACGGGGAACATGTGTTCATATTAAAAATTACAAGTGACAGCTTGAGCGAATACAAATGAAGAACTAGGTGCATATTGGAAGTTAGAAATATTTCAAAGAACCGAACGAATCGCTTTGTACTGCTTTTATTCTGCACCATTTTACGTGCAATGCGAATTGTAAAACGTTGCAATCCTTTTCGCCCACTTTCTTGAGGTTTCAAAAATTATTTATGACTAAATTATATATATTGTGTTTGTCTCTGTCAACGTTTAAAAATTCCTTTTATCTCTTACAAAGTTCATAGTCCGTCCGCTAAAGAAAGTACGGTTCCGCGAAACTCGTCCAACTTCATGGAACTTGCTGGCCGAACTTAAGAGACAGTCAAATTGCACGTCGCCAAGAAAATTCTGTCCGTCGTTTTCACGCTCATTAGACCAAAATAACGCCTCTTTACAAAAGTAACTCGCGAGATGTCTCGCGGAAGATTTCTCAAATTAGTGAACGGACAAAAACAGCTCTTTATTAAATTCTCTTGGTATTATGATTATGATTGTAAGTTAATTCTTTCAAAGGTATAATTGCCAATGATTTGAAAAAAGTTAACTCTCCATAACAGGGAATGTGGAATACCGAAGTATCTACAACGAAACAACAACAAAAGTTAGACGAACTGTAGACAGAACAGTGTAACATATTCAGTGGTCGGAATGCAATTTCAAGATCGATAGGATGATTTATGTACGGCAGAAACATTCCCTGACTCATCTGGAAGATAGCATCGTGACCTTTCACGATCGCGTACCATTAAACTGCATCGTTCGATTTCGGAATACATTTCGCAGAACGAACAATAAGCGAATGGAATCAAGCGCATGGCGTGAAAAGCGAAAGAGTCGCGCATTCTTCTTGAAGCGACGGAGAAGATTCTCTCTCTCAAGAGAGAGAGACATCGAGGAGAATTGACAGAATCGAAATACGGTAAGTCTTAGAATCACGAACGACATAGACTCCGTGGGATCTAGCCGGCGGTCAATCAACCCGACATGTATACTGAAAAATTCAGTACGGCAGGCAGGTCGATAAGAATCCAATGGCCAGGGTTATAGATGACCCTAGTCTTGAAAGACCACGTTACGTGGAAGGTGTAAGACGGCTTTCGCAGTCTACGCTTCAGCACGTTCGACCGTGTTCAGTGCTGGTGGTTCCTCCTCTCTCTCGAGGAGAAGCTCCCTCGAGTATCGTTACCGGCTATATTCTCTCATGGTTATACATATACAGCGCGTGTCAGGTTTCTGCATTTCCTTTCATCCACTATCATCTAGAAATTTTCAAGTTGAAGAAGACTTTTTCTTCGACAGAATTAAATTCGGCGCTGTCTGCTTTCAAAAATTAAATACTTATTAATTTTATGATTTTACATTGCTCTCTTTTCTCTATGACAATGACCGATAAATATATTTCCATTTCGCGTCTTAAATATTTTTGCAGATCACTTAAGAATCTGTAAATTTAACTGTTTAATAATAAAGCTCGGGATTTGTAATTTGCCAATATTTATGCGGAATTTTCTTTGTCAGCCAACGAAGAAATAGAACTGTCTCTCGCGCGCGGTTGTCGTCGTTCATACACTTCGCGAATCGATGAAACGAACTAACGTCGGCGGTTTCCGCGCTGCTAAAATCGCTGCCCTGTATCGACCATTCGATCCTTGCATCGTTGGGAGCATTGTCCTCCGCGGAAATGAGAAACGAAACACGAAACGTACCACCGCCGCGGCCGCCGCTATCAGCCCGGCGCGGCGCGGCGTCGTCGTGGATATCGATCCTTCTTTGTTCTCGTTGTTGAACATGCTTAAACCCGGGCAATTCGCGTGTTGCACCCTATGACGGTTACATTATGTGTGCATATGAAGAAAAACTCGGACGAGTACTTTCTTTATACATACTCTGTCTCCACCATTCATACTTCCTTTCCATTCTTCGAATCATTTATCTTGAGTAAAGTTGAGTAAAGTACATATACAGGATATCCTAAAGCGGTAACCCTCATTCTTCTCAGCTTGTCTTGTAATATCAATCACTGAGATAATGACAGCTTTGGCAAGCAATAAATAAATTATTCCTTGTCTTGTATGGTTTTGTATTCCGCACCGATTTATTAATAAAACCATAAAAAAATCTTTGTAAAATACATGTTGATGATGTCAGTTAATTAGCATCATATAGCGTTTATATGTCTGAGAGTGTCGCCCAAGGCATTAGCGTCTCGTTAACGCCTCTTCACGAAGGACGTGAACTACGCCGACACACATTTGTTCTTTCTGTGTTCGTGGTCATTATGTTCATTATTACAAGCTCCGGGAGTACACTCGATATTATACATTCGTGACTGTTGCTGAAATTCGAAGGGTGCGCAAACTGTTCGTCCTCTTCTATTTTATCTTCCATTTAATTCATTTCATTTTGTTCTAATTCCGAGCTGTTCTATAATATAATGGAACCCGAATAATCAAATTGAATCTCTTTTTTCCAAACAGCCAGAAATAGCACCATAGATAAATGCAAACCTGCGTTCTCATCCACATTTAATGGGATGCTATTTGCAACGCGTCAAAATAGAGAGAACCTTCGAACGTAAAAATAAATTAGACTTCAAATTTTCGAAAATATCAAATTAGCGATATGAAACTGAATTTAAACTGCTCCATTTTTCGCTTTATTTTTAGAAAATAAAGTGCATCCGTAATTTAATTAATATCTATGATTGAATTGGGAAAGAGAGGATGAGAATTGAATAACCGAGATGCAGAAAATTATATATACCCTTCCGCTATTCAAGATTTAAAATTTTTTTTAACAAGAACTAATTAATGGGGTGAGTCTAATAATTCGCTCGCTGGAATCCCTAATTTCTAATTTCTTGAAATCAATCTTGTAATCCGATACGTTAATGCTATGTTAATTTATGCATCGCTTAAAATGTTTATATATCAAAGAGTCAAGTTAAAATTAATGGAGAGAATCTTTACGAAATACTATATACATAATGGAGACGGATAGAGAAAGAGCCATTCAAATACCTATCTTTCGAAATTAAATAACGCTCATGCAATCCGACGAAAGCGAAAGATTGCATCGACCTATGTTTCTAGCGTTCGCGCATTATGGTGATTCGTGCGATTCTTAATGATATTATCAACTCTTAATGTCGAACGCATAGAGGTCGACGACCAAACTCTTGCGCGTTCATTATTTAACTTTGTATCACGAGCTCCTGATTTTAAACTGATATGCATGCGCTTTCTGAAATTGCACGCAACATAATTTATATCCCGAGGATTAATTATATATACAGTAAAAAAGGAAAACGCGCTTTTCTTGGCAAATAAATTATATTAAAAAGTAACATTCTTTATATTGACATATTTAATTATTTAAAATAAGCATTTCCAGACAATTTTGAAGTCTTGTACCTAGGCTACGGTCAACTTGACGCTACAAATACTTTGAAGCGTTCTTCTTCTCCTTCTTTCTTCGTTGAAAGAAAGGAGAAGAGGAATGCTTCGAAGCATTTGTAGCGTTAAGTTGACCGCAGCCCTAGTGAAATAAAGTAAGTTTCAACAACAAGATGAACATTTCATCGAAAAGTGTTAGAACAACCGCGCAGTTTGGATCGTTAGCTGGCCATAACCGTGGATCGAAAAGTTTGTTAGTTCGTCGAGCGACCGACGGCACCGACGGGGGGGGAGAGGTTAGCCGCTGCAAGGTGGTGAACAATGAGTCCCTGGAATCGCGTGGACGTGCACTTACGTGACTCGAAAGGGGAAGCAGATAGCAATGTAAAACTTAAAGTCAGTCGACGGTCACTACCACAAAATACAACCCTGTCGGCTTGTTATTTTCTGCAAATCCAATTACGTTGCATCTAGGGAGAAAATTCTCTCTGTTTTTATAACTGTTGTACCTCGGATGCGTATATATGTGCCCATTTTTTAGATTAATATAAAGAAAAATATCTCTGAGAGAAAAGTGCATACAACGTAAAATTAAAGCATGTGTAATATAAAAGTTGATTGGATTTTCTACAAAAAAAAGTTAAGCATTCATGTTCAAATTCATGCTGAAATCTAAAGATGTTTAACTCGATAATCCTTATATTTTATACAAAATTATAAAAATTATAAGAACTGTTGAATGATATTCCACTGCTTCAACGGCGTTTGTTTCAATTCAAACATAAGTGGATAAGGAAACTCGACACTGTCGCGACTAGCGTTGAAACAATATCGAAAATAAAGAAGAACGTGATATCTGACGCCGATAATCTCGAGTGACCGGTATACATCGATTTTCTTTTCCTTGTCCTTCGCCTATCCTTCGCTATCGTCGTTGTCACGACGCCGCGACGGCCGCGGCGATAAACGAATACAGCGAATAAGGTCCACGTGCTTGGCCAGGTACGATCGAGATCTTAACGTCGAGTTGGCGTGAACCTTATCTGGGAAACGCAAGCCGTCACCTACATCTCGCGTCAAGCTCCATCGGTTCATAAAAATCGCTTGATTTTTAGGCGACGCGAATCGCGGTTTACTCGGTTGCTTTTACTAATGTTCGTGTGTTTATTGTCAAGGTTGAAGTTGATCGCTTCTTTACGGAAACTCCCAAGGTCCTCCTGGTATCGTTCAATCTTTAATATCACACTAGCACGTTAATATAATTTTAATTTCTTTCAAAATTCTTTTTCGCTTTTTCGTTCGCGCCGATAATGGAATATCGGAAGCGTCCCGCTTTCTGTCCGCTGTCCAGCAGTTACAGTTTTCGATAACGAGTAGCACGTGGTGATAAATCAGCTGGCTGGACGTGAACTGACTCGGTGAAATTCCGGTTTCCACGGCACCGCGAACGCGACTCACGGTTATGGAGGCTGCACGAGGTATTCGAGATATTCCAGTAACGATCCGTCGACGGTATATGCTGCTTCTTGGCAGGTTTCCCTAGCGCGGGGACACTTTTTACACGCTCCATCTTGCCGCGATTGCTTCGCCAAGTTCCAGCACTGACCTAACAAATTGTCCAAACCGAGACGCTGCAAGGAACGACCTTGAGAGGATGTTTGGAGCACTATGTCGTGAGTTCCAAACAGCTTCTACATGTCGCATATAGCCGAGATTTAATTTATATAAGTGGAATAATTGTCGCAGGAGACAAATTCCCGCGGTTTCCGTTATCCAATCGGAATCTCAAACAAAAACTATCTTTCAATACTTTTCAACGAAGACATGCTGTTTCCGATACTATAGGGGCGAGTCATCGTAAGTCGCCCTTTCATCAACGATCAGCACCTGCTAAATTGACCGAAGCACGACAGCCCGGGACGGATGGAAATCAATACGTGTTCAGAGTTTACAGAGTTTCTCGAGTTTCTATAGGTAAATTCCGCAGCGTTAGTTATCTCTCGAGTGGAGGTCCAATGGGTCATTCGGCAACCGCTAATTTTTTTTAAATATTTGCATATAGCTTGAACGAAATAACAGTCCCGAATTACATATATATATAAATTCCGCACCGCGGTAGCGGTGGAAAATTGAAATATTTTTTCCTTTCCTCTATACAAAGTTAAAATGAGAAGGTTGATTATAGAATTACTTGATATGAAAAATTATGCGGATACAGTGAAGGTACAGTTTTAGAGGTACGAAATAACATTACGCAGTACGATCTCATTTCCTTCGTGAAGTAACACGAGCGACGTGAGGATCCGAAATAATAACAAAGGCAAAACGTCATCAAGCAGGTTGCTTAATAAAAATCGCGTTATACAAAAATAAGTGGCTACTCTTCAGGAGATGATACAGCTTCCTCCGAGAGACGGGGAATGATCACGTTACCCCCGGGTAATCAAACCCTTTCATCGTTTCTTCGCGCTTTCTCGCACAGTTTATCCTCCTTCTCACCCTTCCTCGACCGCTCGTGTTAATAACATCCTCGTAGAGCCGAGGTATGCAATCTCGTCATCTCGTTGACGGGCCTTCGATAAACGACGTACGTCGAGAAGAGTGAACCCTTTGATTAGAAAGGGTAAAATGATTTTTCCCATGAACCCGTCGTTGCTCACGTCAGGGATCAATATCGGTGGCAATAATACTTTCATCGCGTCACGTTTCAGAATTGTCGTTTGTCTTCGGAATACAGTATAACGAAAGCAATCTCGTCGGCTATGTGTATAATAAATGGCTATTGAGGCCAATAGTAGTATATCACGTTTATTTTCGGCTACCGTTTATCCGTTTTTCTTTTTTTCCTTGCTCTTCAATTCGTACCTTCGATTCGGTACAACTTTATATTTTCGTTTCCCCAGCGCAAAAATATTTGATATTTGATATATTCGGAGTCAGCATAAATAAATAATATGTACAAACGTCGAAATCATTATTTTATTCTGATTGGCCACTAAAGATAAATTCGAACTTATGACGTAATAACAGGTAGGATAATTTAATCGCAAGACGCATTTCATGTGCAAGTTCTTTGCCTGCAGGCAAAAATTTAACAAACAGATGCGACTAAAAATTCACTCACGATTTTATGATGAAGATGTTGAAGTTCCCTCTCGGTTACTCTTCTGCGGGATAACTCGCGCTGTTCCCGCCTGTACTGGCTGTACTTATAGAAGAGATACATCCCAGGTAGAGCTAACACCACCAGGGGTTTCATCAAGCCGGCCCGTCCACTACCACCACGAACACGTGGTTCCGGTGGCTCGTCCAGGTCCTCCAGCTGACCGGCTCCCTCAGCAACGGCCGGAACGGCCGCACCAGCTGCTGGCATCTTTCTGCAAGACATCCCAAAAAATTAATTTGACCCTCTTGTTAAGTATTAGATAAATTATAAATATTACAATACACATTTCTCTATACAAGAAAGTTATATTGTGTCGAATGATCTACACATATCAGGATGCTAATGCCTCTTTTGTTCTGGATATTTCTCTCTGAATTGTGCTATGACTAAAGCATTGTCATAGCTTAATCAACTAATGACAAGGAATTCAGTGACCGACACGGTGTACTACTGCGCCGAACAATATACTCGTCCCGGTGCATTGTGGCTCCATTGAGGATATCGAACCACGACGTCAGCTATTCCGCTCGTTTGAAGAACATCCGGTGAACTGAAAGCGTCCAGCTCGATTACTGCTGCCAACTTTCTTTACCTCCGATTTTTCACGCTTAATATACACCACGTTTTCATTTCAGTCGCTTCGTCATTAAATCCTAAAGTATCAGTTCGCACGAAAATGATGCGCTCGACGACATGCAAAATTTTTAGCTTTCTATTGCCAAACGAATAGAGAATTTTAGGTCGACAAAAGAACCAGCTATTGGTTATTGGTTTCCCATCAAATCTGTTTTTTTTTTTAAAGTCGCTACAAGCTGGGATAGTAGGCGCGGGATATAGGTTTTAGTTGTCGTATATTCCTAACACGAACTTATTCTTCTGCTTTCTCTGTTATTTCTAGATATTTATAATCTTCCCTAATGTATGTATGTGTATGTGTGCATGTGTTCCTTGCTGTAATATCTACGGGAAAGCGATTTCCCGTCCGCATATATCCTCAAATCTCGCGACTTTAATCTCGCAACTGTCAGAGCTGTGATTATTTCCGTAATCTCTCGTACATTTTTGCATTCCTTGATGTAAAAGCTACGAAGAAATTGCTGCTATTTTTGAAGCTGCATATATCTGCGAATTCTTAAAGGATTAGCAGAACGATAAAATATTTTGCTCCAAATCTAATTTAAAAAAACTTTTTTCTGTATTAACTGCAAGTAAATAGATTGGAACTTTATAAATTATGACCGCTTCGTTCATCGATCATATTAGACTGCTCCGGAGTTATTAAAACTGCAATCGCTCATCAAACGCCTATAATTATTCTGTTGGGAATCATAAACCAGATCGAGCTTTCTCGGCAACGAGGAAAAAATTGATAATTTGCCTACTTACTATCGAGCATCTAATTAAGGATTTACGGGTCCGACAAAAAGATACGAAATTTAACTGCGCCAACAGATCTTCGTGACTTCAATGAAATTTCGTAATCTACTTTCCGGTCATTCACCGTCTATATTTAATTCAGTCGTCTACTCGCTGTTCTATTCTTAAACCGGGTGCTCTAGAAATACACGCGGCTCGCTCTATATCGTCGCTGCCCGGAGTCGGGTCGTGCACCTTGCTTCGTTGCACTCGCACTAGGAAGATGCAGCAGTGTCGGTGGTTACACGGGCGGCATTACGTTCACGTTGTCTATGCCAGTGATTTCCCATAATGCGACTTGTACGTGCTGGCAAGCTACGAACGTATCATATCATATTTGCGATTGCGCAATTTTCAAGAATACTTGAAATCACGAGATGCTAAATCAATTCGAGAATTTCAATGCGAGAGCACGCAGAGAAAAACAAATACATCGTCAATCAACGTTTTCTTATCTGGTTCTGCATATCTGTGTGCGCAAACATTTCGCCAAGATAATTTTAAGACGCTTTCGTAATTCCCAGCGAACAAATGATCAGCATTAAAGGTTAAACGTTTATTTTCTGGAATCTTTATAATTCCCGGTATACTAGCGATTGCGCCTACTACTTGATCGTCGTGGTCGAGTGAACAATCCGTGACACACTTATGTACGTCCAGAGAAAAATTGCTTCGACTTTAATCGTCACAGAATTATCATCGCAATTGCTTCACAATATTTTCTCTTCTGAAAAAAAGAAGGGATTCCCCGAAGAGATTTTCCACGCGTAAAATTTTTTTCTGCACGTGCCTGCATCATATTGGAAATTTACCGAGAGTATAATAAATGTTAAAATTACTTTCGCCTGCTAAAAGTGATTACCGTTGTAGTTATTTCTGGCGGTAGGCGCGTGCAACGATCGATACATCATCGTCGCCAAACGCGAGGGCGTACTTTTTCGCGCATTCTTCACGCCGTGGATAATTTGGATGGCGCGTTAAACTCGAAATTCGATACGAGATAGGGGATCAACCATGTCGATACGCGATACGTTTACGTATATGTGCATATCCGCGTTATCGTCATGGGAGGTAATATATTATCGGAAATGAATCGATATATCGACTCGTTGTTTTGCACTTCGCACTCGACGCCGCGAAAACACATACGACCTGAGGGATTTCACGACGATGTGTGACACGGAGTAATTTCGTGAAGGACAAGGTCAAAACTGCAAGCTTTTTACAGATTTCCTTTTATAGGAAATCATGGGGAGAAATGTTTTCCCACCGGGAGAGCGCAAGAGAGCTGTCGATCGATATAGGTAAACGGCACGTGTAACTGATACTAAACTAATTTGCAATAATCAATGTAATTAAACCTGTTAATTAAGTATTACAATCGCTTACGGGATTAACGTTATAAACTAACGATTATCTGATACATTTAACTTGCAAAATTGTTTTCTTATAACGGTTATCCGCTATAATACTCGAATTTCCAGTCGAGAGCTGATAATACAAGTTACCAGCGAGTTAGGGAGAAAATCAGCGGAAGTTTACCTTTAATATCTGAAATTCGGGCGGATTACGTGTCAGCCGCACCCCCGTGAAACTGGAGGCGTCGGGGAGTGAAGGTAGTTATGAGGAGCGGTCGAAATGTGTTCGGAGAAAATTATTACGTTGTTAGAGCACGAATTATCGGACCGATCTGATATCACACGTACGTATGCAGTTTGCCTTGACACAGCGTAACGGCAATCGCACGAGCAAGGACGACTCAGCATTGCGGGATAACATCGTTCACGATATTTCTACGGCCAAGTACACCCTCTATCTGCTATTTTTATGCCCTTTCCACTGTCAAGTTTTGTTCGATTGACTTGCCGCGCTATTAGAATCGATCTGGGAGCTCTTTTTTGTTTCAATGAAAAATACGACAACGCGACGAATGTCGGCTCTAGCTCTAGTTCCAGAACGCTATTGGTCAATGAATAGATATAAACTCAAGTTACTAAATTATAAGGTATAGATGATTGGTGAATGCTAATTAAACCTCAACGTATTAAATATTGATTAAAAAGTCAACTATATAGATAAATACTCTAATCGAATATACTCCAATGTTGGTCTAGCGCATATTCTAGCATATTAAAAATATGTTGCACGATAATTTTGCGTAATATTAGTACGTTAGATTTGTTTGACGCAAAATAATGATCGTCGAGTCCGCAGAGAACGAAAGAGGCTGAGTTCCGAAAGCACTAAACGTGCCGTCATACATCGTGCTGTTTGCCAAGCGACCAGACAAGAAACATTAATCACAAACGCGGTGGGATTTCCTTGCTGTTCTAACGCAAATTATTTGATCAGGTTTCCGTCAACTGTTACACAACGAGATACGAAAAATTATTTAATCGTGAGTTTTGCATCGATCTTCTTCATAATTAAGTTCGAAAATTCAACACTTCTCATAATTTCGGGTGATATCACGGAGAACACGTTTCCATTGCTTGCATATCGCAAACAAAAATTCTATTAAGTTTTTATTCATTTCCGCAGCAACTTTTGCCTGATGTGTCACGTCACGCGTGGCGAAGTGCAGAGAGACTATGTCTCTCGTCACCTGTCATTGTTCCCGCCAAGGCAATGCGTACTACACATCCACAAAATGACCATCGACCATCGCGCGTCATCTGCCTTCATCGACCCCACGGCGGGGTACATCCCCAAATAAAACGTTTCTACGACGAATCGAGGAAGAGTTTACACTTCGTAAAATCCAAAGCCTGCTCCCCTAGGATACGCGCATCGAAATTTCTCATTCTAGGCACGTGCAACCACCAGGTACTACGGTCGATGAACACGCATCTCGCACTTACGTCTTCCTGCCTTAATCCTCGAAGACAAGTCGCGAACGGGATGAAAGAAAAAGGAGCAAGGGAGGGTGGCCTGCGCCGGCAACACGAGCCTCCTGCTCGTGTGCGCTCAGTTCAGCTCAGCTGGATGCATCGTCGAGCCGCGCGACTACCCTGCCTTGGCGGTAAACCGGCGGCTGCACTGGCGTGCCTGCGCAGCCAGGCAACCCTCGCGAGCACACTGCGCTCCGTGTGCACCCCCGACTCGCTCGTGCGCCCCCGCACTCGTACCCGTACTCCGTATTTCGTGCGCACCCCGAGCGGCGCGTCGGCCGCTTCCAGAGAATGTTTTCCACCGAGCTCTAACGAGACGGGCGCGCGTCGCCGACGACTGGCTGCGTGACGCAATGCGTGGTGGAGAACCACATGAACCGACCGATCGAAGCAGTTATGCCGGCTTGGTGGCCGGGCAGCCACTGAGGGATGACGGACGATGTTGACTGCTGTCGACGCTGCTGCTAGTGCTGGTGCTGCTGGTGCTGCTGCTGATGCTGATGGTGGCGTGCTGGCGCTGCTGCTGGCTCTGTAGCAGAAGCTCTGTATAGTTGGAGAAGGATCGATAAAAGGAGGAGAGAAAAGCAAAGTGAATAGGCGCCCGGGAAGAAACAAGGGATATCTTTGTGGGAGGTCCTCTCCTCCGAGATGTGTTCCTGCTGCTGCCTCCGATTCGCCAAAGCGTAGCTTTCCCAATGTCGAGGTGGCCCTGCCTCTACCCCTCCCTCCCTCTCCCTCTCTTTCTCTTAAACCACCCCCGATCTAACAATCTCACGTCGCTATGGTATTCGAGTTTAGTGAACTTCCGATGGAGGTTTCCCCGATAAACGTTCTGCTTTCTCAAGCATGTCCGGTATTGAATTAGGATCGCAATAATTGATTTCTGTGAAGAAACTAACTGCGAAAACTAACGTTTATAAAACAGACTGGCAAATATTTATAATTAAAATAAAATACTATGTGTTAACTATTTTAATCACTTTCATAAAGTTATTGTCATCTAGGAATGTAGACTTCTTTCTTAAATTATTGCAGCTTGAATTCAAACTGCATCTCTTTTGTCGTTGTACCATTAATTTGTATCCTTAAAACTACTCGCGTAGAAAATTAAAAAATCGGCTTTAATCGATCGTTCATTTTGTTACATAGTACTGTCATGCATATGTAGAAGGGGCGAAAGCCATTATTCTTGAATCACAGCCAGGAATTTCGAGCGAGATCGTTTTTCGTGACGTTTGACCCGTTTCTATCGAACGGCGGTGACGTCATCGCAGAGAATGTCAGATCAATGGTCCCCGGGGAGTTGGTGACGGATGCTTCCCTTACCCTCGCATCTCCCTAACTTAGGGTAGCTCCACTCGTGTGGTAGAGCGCGCGATTACGCGCGCTACCGACCCACATCAATTTTCGGTCGAATGGCAGTTGAGAAAGGCCAATAACAATATCGGGCTATCATCGTATCTGAGAAACGTAGCGTCTACAGAAATCGTTCGCGATAAAGCTCTATCACCCGAGAGAGAATGTCTTTAAATTTACGTCAAAATCGTATACTTTTTACGTGTTTTTAACATCTTTGGTACACTGCATCCGCTATCTGCGTGGAACAGAAAGGAAGCGATCCGTAGCAAACCGCTAGCTTTTCTCTTATCCGCGAATCCCGCGTTTATCTCGGTGATTAAATGCTGGGAGTAATTTGTACCTGTATCCAAACCGATTTCGAAAGTGCTCCGATTAATGTTCGTTATCAAACACTACCTGAATAACTCTCCGCATAGCCGTTAGTTTGCTTCGGCTTCCTCGGATGAGAGTCACTGGCACGACGTCATACAAAGTTCAATGACGTCACAGGGCGTTCGATACGAGAGCGGGATTTCGTAGTGGGGGTCGCTACACCGAGATGAGAGTAAAGAAGAGCGCGAGCCTGACGGGCGGAGGGGACGGGAAAGCGGATGCGAGAGGCGTCAGACGAAGAGAAACCGGCGTGGAAAGAAGAGCCTTTCACGCAGTTCTAAACAAGCATTCCCGCGGTTGTTATCTGATTGTTATCTGTACATTATCGCTATATCCATCACGTAGATACCAAAGCACCAGTACGTGGTTCCTTCACGCATTTGCGTGTTCTCGCGGTATCGCCGATGTTTCGAGCCGAGGAGAACTTGCTCGCGTAGCCTCGATCGCGCGCGTTAATTAACGATCTCTTTCGATTATGTGACATCTCATTAATTATAGATAAATTGCGATTTGCGTTAATAGGCCGCTACGTAAGTTTGATCCTGCTCCGAGATCTCTCTCGGTCTTCCTGCCCTCGTGGATGCGAGTCGGAGCGCCGCATTGCGCCACCCCCACTATCAACCGCCACCCCGCTAATAAAAAGCACGCTTGTAATTCTCTTACTGTGACAAGAAACGACTCTACGCTTCATCATGAATCTCTCGTTGCCGCAGGAAGTTTGACGCCTACGAATTACGCGTTGAAAAATAACGGCGTCTTATAGCTCGCTTGACCGCTCGACCGCTTAAAACATTTCCCTACTATCTCAATTCCGCGAACGTTGTGAAATATTCTCGCTGGGAGAACCAATTGCGAATAATTCCTCTTATAATCAACCATAAACTTCTCCATCCTTTCTCTTTTCCGTCATGTTGAATGGTAAATTAGACACCATGCTGTATAAGTTCTATAAAAAAAATATTCCTTTTGCTCGGTTAAGGGAAAACGATAAAACAATGTTTTATTGCCTTTGTCCAAATTTATGGAGAGCTACCGTTCGCGAAGCGTCAATTTCCTCTTTATAGAAGTTATATGTAGTAGCACTGTTCACAGATCGGGTACGGACAATACATCAGAAATTCTTGGAGTGCGTCAGTATTAATCAATCGAGATATTATTCTAACGGGGAAACGCACGTACTCGGCGTAACTTACGTGTCCGGCTGCGTCGAGAAACGAAATTGAAATAAATAGAAAAAATCGGCGGAACGTAAGATGGATTCTATAAAGATACTGATTGCGATATTGCTATAAAATTGATTTCTTCATTCACATATCTGAGAGCAAAGAACATCTATTTTACATAACAGAAAATGATTTAAAATTAAATCGAAGTCAGAAACGGATGCTGGTTTCATCATGTTCATTTCGGATCAAAAATTAATAGCTTCCTAAATATTCTTTATTTGAATTTTTTTCGGAAATATGCAAAATATACTTTTATGAAAAATCTTGCTCACATTGTAAAAATATATATTCGTTTTAATAACAATTACAATTTAATATATCAAGTATGATATAAATGGACCAAATTCAAATCTTAGGTGTATTCTTCTTGAACTCTATTTTCTCCTGCAGACAAAACAGTACCGCCATCGCTCTGAAGAAAACCGACTTTGCTGAACCTCGGTGTTCTCTTACCAGAAAACTTTCATGTTCGCGACTTGCTGGGTAACACTATTCGTAGCTCCAATGATAAAGCCATAGCGAACTATCGGTACACGATGGACCATTAATATTATTAGATTGTGTGATAAATATTTTTACGATCTACAACTCTACATCGTACTGTTCATAATAATCATAATGTTTTATAGTATCAACCTTTCTACGGTTAATATACAAAACTCATTTCTTATCAATTGATGCAGTCTTCTATGACAAGACACAAGTATGAATGATTGCGTAACTTAAACAATTCTGATAGGAAATGTTATCTCCAGGATGGCAAAGACGTATATAGCTCTTGATATATAATACGATGAATAATGGCACCAATTTTTGCCTACGCAAATTAACCGAATAGTCCCTGATGACAAAACTAGATCAAAATAGTATATCGTGATAAAAGAGCTAGAAAAATTTATCGCGTGATCGTTACATTAACATATAATTCGGGTTCAACGTCGGAAACGACTTTCCCTCGTGTTATCTCGCAAGCATCGACACGTGTATAAAAAATGATTCAATGCAGGGAAGACGATTCAGGCATGCGTGGGTTCATCATCCGGCTGAGAGAGAAATTGCGTCTCCAACTCAGCTTCATCGAATCTTTTCCGCATAAACTAAATGAAGATTTGTGGCCCGTTGATTAGTGCTTCGTTAGTCACGTTTACGGGATGTCAAAGTTCAGCGGCGCTATTGAGTTTATATCAGCAGCTTGTAACGGCAAATGTCACGAAATCTTCCTTTGACAGCTGATGTATGACAGCTGATCTTGCGTACATAACTCCAATCTATTATTTCGTAGCACGGTAAAAATAAATCTTGAAAAAGTTTACTTTCTGGGCAGTCTCTGGTAGCTCATCAATTATGCGTTAATCTTTCTGACGCATCGCGAATTAGCATCTGTATTGTCGCACATTGTGCCGAGATTGCTATAAGATTGCCGAGATTTTTTGCTATGTAATAATTAAGTAAGCGTTTCGTTTTAGACATTCATAATTCTCGTAAAATTTTAAGAGGATTAATTCAGTAAGAATTTCCTTAAAAATAATATTACTTTATTAGGTATAATTTTTATTAGACGTTAATCATCAATTAATTCACGATTTTGTAATATAAATATATAAAATCAATAGTCCTTTTTGTGCAAAATAAAAATTTGATAAACGAGGCAAGATAGATAAAAAGGAACAACGTAGGAGATATATTATAGCATATATTATAGATATATGTTTAGTGCGTTATTAAATTTTCTATAAGATGTCTATATATATTTATTTATTTATACATATTAATATTTTACTTCACGATTTTAGTATAAGTCAATGTGGTTGAAAATATATTTATCAGCAAAAGTCCTTGACGTCTCTTATCGATGGAACTTCCTCACTTTTAGCGTTAGCCGATACGTTATCCCGCAGGATGTTACAAAGTTCTACAATAAACTGGTACAATTTTCTAAAATTTATCAGCGTGCCCTGTTACTTATTAAGAAACAAAAGCAATATTTGCTATAATATTTGATAAATATTATTTAATAGTAGTCATATTTCCACATCTGTATTTATCTGTGCTTCATAACTCAATGAACAATTTCACAATGACAGAGTATATCTCGTTCAAGGGTTCGTTCGTGTCATACTTTACAACAATTTATTTATTGTTTATCGTGAAAATACATTTTCATTCGCACGTCATTTTTGACATGCTCGCGACTTATATTGTATTATTAATTATACACGCAACGATTGTAAAGAAAAGATTGCAAAATAAATATACCGCGTTCATGGTGCGCGAATATAAGAGTCATAACAGTCGCTTGCACAACGAATGCACAGACAAGCCGCACGTCAGAAACCATCTAAATTTAAATTATATGATAAGACGCGGGCAAAGCGATGCAGTTTTCACGATAAAAATTTGCAAATAAAATGCGCGAATTAAGAAAACTCGAGTTTTCTTTCGTCGCGTACTGATTGTGAAAAACTGACAATACGGATCCAACAAAAGAAACTGATCAAAAGCAATTTTATAAAATTTTGTGAAATGTCCTTGGAATATACGACGGTGACAAAAGCGGAGTCGACGATTCATTTCGCGTTTCACGTTCGAGGCTGTTTTGAAATAATTAATCAGCACGTTATAATCGACTCGTAAAATTAGCGTGCCGTAACGAATGTACGTACGTATTTCCTTAAAAGTGAAAGTAAGAGTTGCGCCTTGATATATCGCATGTTCGTTGTACTAAGCGCGTAGTCCGAATCTATCCTTATCGTTATCTGTATCGGGCATCGCGAATGCATTCGGGACATTCTCAGCAAACTGACTGTCATAACGAAAGTTTGGAAACGAGAACAAGTTACGATAACTAAGCAGAGACAATTGCACACCACATTTATGGAAACTATTAATTTTGCGCGTTGAAGAATTTAATACGGCGGAGCACGCGTATTAAAAGGCTCCTTAAAAGGCAACGTCGAGCGCGAGCGAGATTTAATTTATTCCTTTACGTCTCTCATACGAAGCACAACTTTTTGATTCGCACCGGCTGACGCTCAACGAGCAATTTTAATTAAATGACACCGTGACTAACGTTGCGCGCGCGCACGCACGTTAAACGCGCCCGTGCCGTGACTCAGGACTCGTTCCCGTGAGTTTTCAAGACTGGCATCAGAGAATTACAAAACTAGCACGGCGGGGGAAATTAATTACCTCTCTTATATACCCCGTCGAAAAACAACCTCTCTCTATCTATTTATCTCTTTATTTCTCTTTCTCTCTCTCCGTCGGCAAGAGTACCGAAATAACCGGCAATTTACTTAAAGTCATCGTTGCTTAATCACGCCGCGATTTTATAGACGACGTGGCCAATTCGACGCAGCTCGTAACTTTTTCAACCCTGCAGGATTTTAAATCCGGCATTTTAAGAGAGAGGCCGGGAACGTTAACGGTCGCTAAACTTCTCGGCTTTACGATATGAAACATATATCGTATCCGCGATATTTCGAGGCGGAGACGGAGAGACATCCACACGGGGCGCGGCAGCGAGCGAATTTTATTTCAGGACGAAAAAAACATCGTTTCTCTGTCTCTGGAGAATCGGAGCAGCGCGGACCATCCGCGCAACGTCCGACGGTAACCAAGAATAAGATATTTTTGGAGCTTCTCGTTTCGCTTTGTCGTCTCTTTCGTTCATATGGCGGGCTACGCGCGGAACGATCGCATTTTTCCGTTGCAACGTGCCGCGAGGGAGATAAAAATATTTTCCGAAAGCTTCATTATCCGTGCTCGTCTGGCGCAAAGATGCGAACGCTGCCAGCTGCCGCGCCGGCGAAAATCTGACGGGTACGCCTTTTGTCCGTATAGTTTATGGTAAACGTGCGTGGAATATTACTACGATGGCCACGAGCGATGAAATATCTAACATCGTGTTGCGCGATATACTCCGCCTCGATATGGATCGACGCGTTGTTCAATTATACCTTATTCCGACGCGATCGACCATACCTATTTGTCTCGCTAACAACCTGGTTTCCGAACTAAACTCGGCAATCAATAAAGCAACTCCAATAAGATGTATAAGATTTTCATCGCAGTTAAAAGGAAAAAATGGTCGAAATTGAACAACAAGTTTGTTATATAATCAATTTCGTTATTCGTATCTGTGATCGAATTTTCCACGGTTTGTGAAACGGTCTCACGAGTCTGTATATGTTCATGTTCCGCCTTACTTCTTTATTCGTCCCTACATCTATGGCATGGTGTCTCCGTTGTGAAATAGCCCTCTTGTCCTTCGAATCCCGAATTCTAGTCTCCGGGCCGGAGAATTATAATACACGAAACTTCACTAATACGTCGTCGCCGTTATTGCATGCGCGCGAATCGCGTGATACTTTCCGAAGTTTTATGGTGTTCGAGCCCCGACGACACGGGGCAATATAAGGGGCGATATTTCCAGCATAACGCGGTCGATAGCGGTACACGATTGTTTTTTGCAGTAGGGTGCTTTTGTCCGCTCGCGTTGCAGTTCCGTTGCACTCCCAAATAGATTTTCGAAGAAAAAGGATGAGATCGCTGCTCAACCGAGTGGGAGAGCGAACTGAGTCACGCGAGTATGCTATAGGTCCAATGGTAAACGACGATGTCGGCGATATCCTCGTCTCGGGGCTCAGAGGCTACATTTCGTGGGAGGTTTTTCTCCGCGAGACACGAGCTCTATTTTGCTCGCGATCATAACAATTACGCGAGATTTTTTACACACAGTTTGCTCTGTTGCCCCGACAGAAGCTGAATGGTGGCCATTACATCGCGGGTAGTAGCGGCACTTAGCGGTGAAAGTGTGTCACCGCATTTTTAATTTGCACTTTATCGTCATAGATCGGCGGTCTTGAAACCTTCGCGCGTCATAGACTGAGATCGAGTTCCCGCATCCTGCATCCCGGCGCGGCGGCGAAAGAGATTGAAAAAAAAAAAAAAAAGAAAAAGGTTTCCGTATCCTTCCCGTCGATGGAAAGGCAACCTGGCGCTTGAGTAGTATATCGCACACAAGCAATATTATAATATAATAATGAAAACGAATTATTAATAACTATCAGAACACTATCAGAAAAATTTAGACACGAGGAAAAGAATATTTCCACTCCTTTGAATAATTATTGCAAACAATACGATTCTCATAGGCAATGTTAATTTTAAATTTATAAATAAATACATATATATAATATACATATAAACAAGAAGCAAAGAGAGTGCCTCTGAGATTAGTTTTTCTGTCTCAAGTGTGACACTATATAGCATTACAAAGGCAGATTAAACTTTATTTCAATGTATAAAAAGTGATTCGTGCAATTATCAAAAGTAATTCTCGATAAAGAAAAAAACTATATGGAGACAAAACGTATAGTGTACATGTATATTCATTATTCTGTTCTATAAAGCAATTTTCTGTGTGTGGAATTTTCTACAGTTAAAATCTTAAACTTCGTATTTCTCGATAAAATCCATTTCTAAACTCTCTATGATTTTATATAGTTTATACGGTTTTAATTCAGAATTTAATTCAGGTTGATGAAATCGATTTCCAAGAGACAGTATTTATCGTTGCGACACGACGGAAAAAAATACACAAATATTAACGTCGCGTCGTCCTGAAGGTTGCACGCGTAAACACGATTAAAGGTCCCCAAGGGTTGTATACGTGCCTCTCTTTCTCTCTCCCTTTTTCAGGTTCAAAGAGAAAGAGATAACCGGCGCAGATGGTGAGAGTAGTGGGGACCAGGCGAGGCGAGCGAGTAGGGTACACGATGGGTTCTCTCGTTCGGCCGTGTTCGTTCCGCGATCAGTTGTCCGCCGCGCGCGCATCAAGCTGTCGTATTGTCGACCGTCGACGTTTCGCCGTCCGTTCCTCCACTTCGGGTTAACGCGCGTGCAAGGTCCTCTCGCCGGGTTGGCGAGGGATCGATCACACCCCTGCGAAGCACGAGGTACTGCGTGATAACGCTTCGCGTTCAGGGGGTGACCGGGGTGACGGTCATTTCCGCCAAGTACCGGAGCGTTGACGTACCGAAAGTGTGCCGAGCCTCGCAAAAGTTTGTTTGCCGTCGTAATAATCGCGAGAGAGATTCAACTTCCGAGAGAAATCGCGATTAGTTGACGGGATGGAAGTGACATTTAAAGAACGAGTAGATCGTCGACCTCGGTTTTCCCGCCACTGATTTTTCGGTAAAGTTCAGTTGTTACGTGCCGGAAATTCGGGTAGTGATACATACGGTGACGTCGACGCGAAGTGTATCGTGATTGTATTGGCATTTCGCTAATCTTGCAACGCGACTACGATTGGGATCATAGTCTAGCCGAAGTCATCGTGCACGCGGAAAACACCGTAACCGAGAGAGAAAGAGAGAGAGAGAGAGAGAGAGAGAGAGAGAGAGAGAGAGAGAGAGAGAGAGAGACGAGCGTCGCGCTTTCGACTGGAAAGTCGCGATCGAGAAACTCTCACGGCCTAACGTTGCCTCCGATACGACTTATCAACGTATCGTGATAAACTCGTAGTTTACGACGTCGCGTCCTCGAAAGGCGAAACTCGCACGAGGCGCATCTCGAGAGTAACAGGTGACACAATTACATACCTCTGGTTGAGACGCGATTGGTTGACGCCTTTCTTTTCCTTCATCTCTTTCCTCTTCCTCGTTACGTGGAAAAGCGAAGAAAAGCGCGGGACGATGGCAGGTCGTAGCAGCCGTATCGTCAATTCCATCAAGCGCTTGGAAACTATCGGAAACGATCGTCGACGGAGTTGAGCCTTCGAAGGAGGATTCGATTGGCACACGACACGAGACGAGTTGTGGTTAAGCTCGTTGATGAACTCGTCAACGAATGGCTCGCAAACATCGCGCGACGAGTGTTGCTCTCGACGATAATAACTCGCGAATCGGAGCTCGCGACGCTCGCGTCCTTCTTGGCGCGCCGGGAATGCGCGGGGTCACGTTCGCGCGCCGATCGAATTAAAAAAATACCGGGCGACGCGATCAACAAGGAGGCCGGCCGAGTGCGTAAGCGAGCAGACGATAACGAGGCGGCACGCAGAAGGAGCATCGTCAGTGGAAAGGAGGTCCCAGCCGGCGCCTTCATCGTCTCTCTCTCTCTCCTCTCTCGTTACGGCGCGCCGAGCTTGTCAGCCAACAAGACGATTAACGACGATCGACAGCTGCTTCTTCGACGAGATTTTGCCTGAATTTTGGATTTTCGTTCACGAGTCGAAACGAAAGAAGCCAAGTAACCCCGAACGAGGCCCGTAACGTTGGCGAACCGCCGCTTACAAGATCAGACAAGGAAGAAAAAAAACGCGGGATCGAGGATAGAGTAATTTTCCATCGATTGAGTGCGTGTGTGAGTGCGATATCGGTATGACCAGCGACGCGAACTGACGCTCCGAAAGTGAGAGGAAGCTCTCGGAAGAGCGAGAATGATGATGCCGCCACCGCAGGTCGTGGGTGTCCTGCTGAAGAAACCGGGACAACAGACTCACCCGCGGTTACCCCCCCTAGATCCGCAAGAGACCAAAATTAAAGGTGAGTCTATTTCTTTTTACTTTTTATTCTAGGAATATTTTTTTAAACGTAAGTATGTCTTTTATCGTCAAATATTGCGTATACACTTATACGAGAGTATAAAAAGCGTACAAGCAGAATAATAATTACGAATGCAATATAATACTAAAGCGCGCTCCACTAACAAACACGCAAATTCTTTCGAACGTTTTAAACAATATATATCCATTAAAAAAGAAAGCTTCAGATATATTGAGCGTTAAATTTAAAAAAATTAACATCACTCACAACACCGGTGGCGAACCATTATACGACGCCGATAGCGTATCAAATGGGTTAATTACCGTAGTAATTGAGCGAAAAAAATTGAGCTTTCCATGGACATCCGGTAATCACAAATTTCTCATTAATTTGGGACATCTCATTTAGCGATTGCGATAAGTAGGCACGTCGATCCATTTCGCAACGCCATTTCTTTTCGCCGTAATCTCAATACTGAATCTTTTCTCCGCCAACTAATTTCCAGTTCGGTAAGAAATGTAATTTATTACTAACACATGCGAAGACATCTGTATAAGAACCTTTTCCGCCAAAATGGAGCAACGGAGTTTGTCGTTCCGCTCGAGAACGCGGTCCCTTTAGGGACTCCCCTCGAGAGACGGGCAGGAAGATACCGGCGGAGACCGAAGGAAGAAGTCATTTTCATTGTGGCATGCATCGCGGGTTTACATTCTGTAAATAGGCGGTCGAAAGACATATAAACTCGCGTCATTCATCTCGCGTCGCGGGTCTCCGCTCGGCATGCCGGCATTACGCTATTATCGATATTATGATTCATTGGAGCGTACGTGTTGTTACAACAAACGGGCAACCTTATCGAGACTGTAACGACTGAACGTTCCCTGAAATCTGGGCTGGAGCTCTCGCTCTTTATAGTCTGACTCTACTATCGATCTCGTCGATATCTTTTCCTTCCTCTCGCTACGATGGCGATGCAGGAATGCGCTAACCGCTCTTTCGTTGAATAATGTTTTATCGCCACTTGTGGTTCGATTAACGCGAAATTGATTCACGTTGAGTAAGAGGCGTTTAAAAGCGTCGGTTTATCATCGCCGTCGGTCGAACCACATCACGTGAGAATCCTCGTAATGTAACCAACCCACAAACGTGGCAATTGAAGATTAAGTGACTCGGTAGCGCCAGCTTGTTTACTCTATTATGCCGATCAGTCGCGAGCCGACGCCTTATGGCTCCGTTAACAATTATGTTAATGGGACGGCGACACGTTACGATAACAGCGTAAGTTGATCTCATACGAATAGATGAGCAATTTGATGAAAAAACGAATATAAATATATTTTGGTATTTTATTTTTTTTCTGTTAAATGCATCGTCAGGTTTCAGTCAACCATAAATCATTTATCTGAAATTTTTTGATTTTTATTGCTGCACATAACTCCGAGAGAATAGAATTTCTCAAATAATTTAGGTTTATATGTACGTCCCTTTCCTTAGAATTCTAGGATAACAAAGAGCGATGTTGGAATTTCTAGGGAAACCCAACTCGTGAGTTTCTAGTGTTTCGGACAAATATCAGACGATGAAGTCCGTCTAGACGCCTTGCCACAAGTCAACCATAAATCATTTATCTGAAATTTTTTGATTTTTATTGCTGCACATAACTCCGAGAGAATAGAATTTCTCAAATAATTTAGTACGTCCCTTTCCTTAGAATTCTAAAATAACAACGAGCGATGTTGGAATTTCTAGGGAAACCTGACTCGTGTGTTTCTAGTGTTTCGAACAAATATCAGATGAAGTCCGTCTAGACGCCTTGCCACGAGTCAACCATAAATCATTTATCTGAAATTTTTTTATTTTTATTGCAGCACATAACTCCGAGAGAATAGAATTTCTCAAATAATTTAGGTTTATATGTACGTCCTTTTTCTTAGAATTCTAAAATAACAACGAGCGATGTTGGAATTTCTAGGGAAACCCGACTCGTGTGTTTCTAGTGTTTCGAACAAATATCAGACGATGAAGTCCGTCTAGACGCCTTGCCACAACATTTGAAAGGCCTTTTAGAAGCCCGTCTCGTTCGCACGCGATTGACAATTCGTGCTCCGTAATCCGGTATCTGGGCTACCGTGGTAACGGGATACTTTTACGTGGCCGTTCATCCACGGGGAACATGAAAACGGACTCTCTAGCAAGCGAAAAACGTATTTTTTGGATACCAGAAATACATGTAATATTTTACAAAATATACATTAGGAACCCGAGAATAATAGCGAACCGCAATTACGATATTATTCGTCCAATAATCCTGATTGCTGTAACGTGATATAATTTGGACGATGACGGTATTTTAGATTGGCGCGTTAACTTTAACCCATATTACTCAGCGCCGAAAATGACGATGACGTTTCGCGCGGAAGTGCCGCAAAAATAGATCATTGTTGCCTCACGCTAGAGAGTCGAACGTTTATCGAACTGCAATGTACTTCGAGTAAATAGGCGTAGATGTTTTGATAAGATTATCCCATCGCGCGATACCACTTATATAAACGTCTTATTTCAATCAACTGACAAGCGTTTCATAAAAATAAATAAATTAATCTTTTTCTGTCAGGTTTATACAAGGGTTTGTAGCAGACGAAATTACGCGGTAGATTAATTTTTGTTTAATGCGAAACGAGATACTTAAATTCCTGACGGTTTATGGCAGGTCAAGAAACAGTAAAAAGAAAGCGGGCAGGGACTTATCGCGCCGAACGACGTTCTCGTGCCGGTTTTCACGGCCGTATCAAATCCCTGCAGTATACCTACCTTTGACTTTCCTCCCCGCGAGCTCGACTATCGTCCGACAAGAGCAACCCTTTCTCTTCTAACGGGAACCTTATTAAACTTCCCGGATTTTCCGTTTCATTGCACATTCGACAAACGATTACGACATCGGCACACGCCAATCCCGTCATTGCGAAACCGCCCCGTATAACAAGGCATATACCTGCTCGATAGCGGTTTTATATTATAATTTCGACTGCAACACGCTTGCTCGTTAATTATCTCCCGGCACGAAGTGGCACGAGAAATATCGTACTTATGCGTTTGCAGAACGGAACGTTATGTAAGCTTTAATTAGCCTTATTCTAAATCATTTTGATAATTCTCGTGAGACTAGAAAATATTTTTCGAGAACTGATATTGTGAGAGTTGGTGAAAATTTTTTCGCGCCATCCTCGTCCCTCTTTCTCCTCCCCGACTCGGTTCGCACTTTTCGCGAAATAAGAGTCGAGCCTCGGAGACATAAAGGAGCTCTTTGTAACACGAAGGGGCACTGTGGCCATGTAAATAGCCAATGGGATCCTTAAAAAAAATCCACAAGACGCTCGCATTGCTGTCGACCTGAACGGTGACGCGAGTTTCACATTTCTCGTTCTTCAGCGTGTGCAGGCAGCGGGAAACTGGATTTCAAGGTGTTACATGGTGGTCTCTCTTCTCCGTTGGTACGATTCGTCGTTTTCGATTCGGCGGTTTCGAAGATATTCGCAAGAGAAACCAATCCGTATATAACGTTTGATTCGCGCTCCGCTCGTTTTTGCGCGACGAGCATCTCTCTTTCTTTCTTTCTCTCTTCTCTTTTTCTCTCCTCGGAGTCCGGACGACTTAAATTAGGGTCACAGTGCCGAATTAAGCACGGTCCACAAGTGCCATTCACGAGGAACTCGCCGCGACCGGAGATTAAGATATACACATGTAGATAAAGTCGGACCCCATCCGTATTCGAGTTTCTGCGATTCTCTAGGAATCCTTTTGATACTTGAGAATCCTCCTGAGAAATCCCTGGCTGGCATTACACGTTTCGTGAAGTAATCCCCTAAGTATCGCTATTCAGAGGACGAAATTGAGCTTGCGCGTCATGATGCAAAGACGCGGGCCTTGCGGTTAAAAAGGCTCAATTGAGCTAAGGGAGGCAAAAGAGGATCATTTCTGTCGACGTGTCCGGCAGATCGGAAGAAAGAGAGAGGGAGAGAGACAGAGCCTGTGCGTCACGAGTCTAAACAAATTACAACGACAGCCGAGTGAGCCGACCGCTCCTCGCACGAGCGCGAATAATAAATCGCGAATAATCGCGCGCGTATACCGGGTGTTCCGTTCGGGCGGAACGGACCGAGGCGATACGACACCCGGGGCCCGGGGGGACTTAGCTTAGGCTCGATCGTCGATCGAGACTCAAATCTCGGCCACGGAAGACGCGCGTTGCCTTTCACTAAATGTTCGCTCTTCGTCTTCTACATGTGTATTCGGCATTCGCGGCAACTAACTTTGTGCCATTTACCAGCCACAGCTATAAATCGCCGTCGCGAGCGGACGTGAAAAATCAAGTTCGCTTGTTGAACGATGTTATTTTCTCTCAAGAGTGATACCGCTCTTCAAGATCATCGCGTATCGGCTCCGTGGACATTTCTGCGCGTCGTCCGCGCGCCCGAGCGATGCGTATGCGCGCCCAGTATCTCGTTGCACTGCCTCACTCCTTATCACGCCTGCGGGCGATAACACATCCGGAGTTACACGACGTTCATTACGGAGTTCCGATCGTCGAGCGTTATTCGTGATAATTATAGTACATATAAAAAATAATGATTTTAAGGTTTTTTAAAAACTAATAAAATAAAATACGAGTAAAATGAAATAAAATCTTTTGCGCCTTAACATTGATTTATCTTCAATTAATCTTTAAGATACCGACGCAGGTTGTTTATGACCACTATCAGTCGATTGATATCACCGTTTCAAATGAATCATCGTCATTCTATGACTATTGCAAATCTCGACTCTTTTCTGTGTCGTCTTCGACCTCAGACGTTACAGCGAAATCGCGTTTCAAGCTGGATTTTCTACGATCACTGCATTGCCTCGAACCGGGTTCTGCTTCCCCGATTCGCGTAACCAGTCCTGCCGGAGAAAAGCGGTTGTGAAAATGTTTTGCACAGTCGTACTTGCCTGATTCAGGA